ACTGACAATTTCATAGCCCTTGGTTCCTTTACTTTTCCATTTCAGCTTCCTGCACTGCAGTGACTCCCAGGGGCGTGACTAATTTCGCTTTTCCATTTAATTGAGATCTTGTTTCTGACTTTGTGTTTAACTGTAGCTTGGCCAGCTGCTCGATGCCTTGCCACTGCCCAAAATGCACCTGTCAGGCCTTTCCTTTTGTTCCCAGGGAATTTAGGGAATATCTATGACCAGCTCTTCAAAACCACTTCCATCACAGTGAGGTGGTGTGGGTTTTCTGTATTGCTGTGTGCCCACCTCCCCCCTTAAGGAATTCACCCAAAAAATCCTGAGCTTGAAACTCGTTGTACTTATCTATCACTTCTATTTCTCTGTCCCTTCCCTAAGGGCCTGTGGTGATGTTTCTTTTGCCACGTCTCTGGCAGCTACAGGAGCGGATTCCCTTCTTCCCCTCCCTTGCTAAATATCCACCACCCTGCTCTGCAGAATGCTTGTGCCAGTGATGCCTGGATGGAAAAGGACCTGGTGAAGCTTGAGAACAGTGGAAGGTCAGGGATGAAGGGAATGATGCTGCTGGCCTCTCAGGATGAGCTGCAACCTGGACCACAAGCAGGGGGACAGTGATCTTCAGCAGCACTGACCCTGTGTTGGCCTGGAGGGTGAGTGAATATACAGATACACACGTGAAAACAGTGGAGTGTGGCTGCCCCATCCCTGGAAGTGCTCAAGGCCAGGCTGGACAGGGCTTGGAGCAGCCTGCTCCGAAAAAAAGGAATCGAGTAGGTGGAAATTCATGTGTGACTGTGCGAGGTGCAACGCAGCAAGGAAAAGTACTGTTCCTCTCTGAAATATCTATATCTGAAATCATGTTTGCGGGAAGCTCGTGAGCGCTCGGCGGAGGGAGCGCTGTCACCCTGGGGGTGTCACTGAGGTGTTTGCTGCAGTCACATGGAGAAGTGTCAAACAAGAATATACCCACAGCACGCTTCAGGATAGCATGGGAGAAGGGGAAGCCCTTGGTGTCTACCCCAGAGCTGTGTTCACAGCCAAGGAAAGGCCCAAGGTCAAGGATCAGACCTCTTGGAGGGCTGTCAGCACAGCAGGTCAATCAATACACACCCTTTGCTTGACAAAGGGGAATTCAAGGAGGTTCCTCATGATGTTCTAATGTATTATCTGGAGCAGGGTTGTTTTACTTTTGCCATCTACAATGCCTCATCTGTGTCTAGCCCAATAAAAGGAGTCCTGGGAGCAAGCAAGATGTGAGTGTGATATACAGCCACATAATAAGTAGACCTTGAACATTGCTGCCCGAGGGCAATTCCAAGAAAGCTCCGGTGTAGCTCCTGCATTCTGGCAGTCAGGATGCCTGCTGCTGTCTCCTGGGGTTTCACGAAATGCATTAGTGCCCAAGTTGTGAAACCCGGAGCAGCGGGTGGGCTTCCACCCTCCCTGCCCCTCTGACACGGCTTCCACAGGGTGGGAACGCTGCTGGGACGGGGGCAGCTGTTGGAGGGAGGCTCCAAGACCCCCGAGGACAGTCGGGGATCAGGGGTCAGCTCCCTGGCCGGGCCCGGGGTCGCTGTGCGGGCTGAGCTCGGAGCCAGCCCCTCGGCGGGCTCTGCCGCTCCGAGCCGCCCGGACGGAGCCGGGAGCTGCCGGGGCTGGCTCCTCACCTCCCGCTCCAGCCTTCCCTGACTGCTGAACTTCACCGGCAGAAAGCTTTCCCGGGGAGAAGGGGCTCCTCTGCCGCGTTAGCCGTGGATGTGTCACGGCAGCCGGGTGCGGAGGTGGAGGATGCTGCGCTCACACGAGGGAGCTGCTCCAGCTGAAAGCTCACTCGGGGAAGGATTGCTGTTTTTCAAACAAACCGGTTGGATCCAGCTGGTTGTGGGACCCACGAAGAGATAACGCTGGGGCTGAGCTGAGCTGATGCTGCTGCAGGCAGGGAACCCCAGAGTGGTTTGGGCTGGAAAGGGCCTCAAAGATCACCCAGTGCCACCCCTGCCGTGGCAGGGACACTGCCACTGTCCCAGGCTGCTCCCAGCCCTGTCTGGGAGCACATCCCTGGGCACTGCCAGGGATGCAGGGCAGCCACAGCTGCTCTGGGCACCCTGTGCCAGAGAAGGATTTCTTCCCAATATCCCATCTGCCCTCTGGCAGTCTCCCCCTTCCTTCCACAGCCCCCTGCACCAGCAGTTATTTGATCCATTTTTAATTTTAATTTTAATGCTGGAGTAGTTTTCTGCAGATGTTCCCTGAGCGAGCGAGCTGTGGGATGTGGGCTGGTGAGTGAGTGAGGAAGAATGTGCTAATGTGTGGTCAAGGACGGCTCAGGGGTGGGAGTGTGGGATTAGGGCAGCCACAGCTCTCCTCTGTGGGAAGGCTGTGTGGGCACAGCCCTGCAGAGGCTGGCAGGACTGGCTGTGGCCAGTGGCACGAGCTCTCAGTGGCCAGGGCTCTGTGCAGTGCTGCTGGATCCCTCCATGCTGTCCAGCTGACCTGGCTCGCTTGGGGTGAGACAACCCAGCTGCTTGAAAGAATAAATCAAAGCAGGCAGATATGGCAGGGATTACAGAGGGAGGCAAGCTGCTGTCATCCACAGGCAGGAGGATGTGGCAGTCTGGTTTGCTTATTTTTCCCTTCAGTGATAAATGTTCTGAGGAATGTGGTGGGATTCTTGGGGTGTCCTGTGCAGGGCCATGAGCTGGGCTCGATGGTCGCTGCTGGTCCCTTCCAACTCAGGATTTTCTGTGATATTCTTTTGCAGTTTGGATGCACAATCCCGGGGAAATGGGGCTGGAAGATGTTCATGGCTGTTCCTCCCCAGTCCTGCTGCCCTGCTCTGCTCCCACGTTTGGAGCTCAAACACAATGAGTGTCTCCTGATGAATACAGCCAGAAAAAGAGGAGAATATTCCTGATGAATGCAGCCAGAAAAAGGGGAGAATATTTCTCACTGCCTGCCTGAGGCCTTGGATCCAATGGTATGCGTGGTGCTTCATGTGTGGCAGAGCTTTGTATGGCCTCGATTCTGTCCTCTTCAGAAAATGACAGTCTAGGCATCATCATTTTCTGTGGTTGTGGAAAAGTGCTGAAAAAAAATTCAATTTCGAGCCCCAGATATTTGCATCCTCTAAGGCAGTGTCCTATAAATCTAGTTACAGGTTCTTCTCTATTAGCAGTAAGTGCTGGAACACTTTTGAATGTGAACAATGGTGATGGAGAAGGATAAAACCAAAATAGTGCTCCTGTGGCTTTGTGCAGGGTAGAATTAGGGAGCATAATCCAAATAATAACATCTCATGCTTTTATGGGGCTGTGTGCATATGGCGTAAATGACAGCTCATTAAACTTTATATCCTGCCTACAAGATAAGCATGTAATTAGTATTACATCCTTTTTTATAATTAGGAGGCCTCATCCAAAAAAATGTGGCTCACAAGCCATATTTGAAGGCGGTGACTCAGCCTGAATTAGGCTGCGCTGTGAGGATGGAGAGAATCGTGCTTTGAGGACTAAAAAAACAGAGACAAAAGGTTGAGCTGGTGTCAGGTTCCTGCTGGAAAACGCAGGTGGATGAACTTTTGAACACTCCGTGGGCCGGAGCCCGAGCTCGGTGCGGAGCATCCTGCGGGAGCGCGGTGCCGGTCACGGCGGGGCTGCAGGAACGCCCGGGGCCCGCCTGCCTTCCCCTGCCGCCCGTGGGACGGCTGAGCGGGGCGAACGGGGACTGGCAGCCGCTGGGATTGTTCGGCACAGCCCGGGGCACCGGGCACCGCCGGCATCCCTGCTCGGCACAGCCGGGGCACCGCCGGCATCCCTGCTCGGCACGGCCCGGGGCACCGCCGGCATCCCTGCTCGGCACAGCCCGGGGCACCGCCGGCATCCCTGGCATCCCTGCTCGGCACAGCCGGGGCACCGGGCACCGCCAGCATCCCTGGCATCCCTGCTCGGCACAGCCGGGGCACCGGGCACCGCCGGCATCCCTGCTCGGCACGGCCCGGGGCACCACCGGCATCCCTGCGGCCCGGCCGCTCCGTTCCTGCCCGGGTGCCGGCGTTTTTGCCGGGTTTATTTCTGGCGCTGGCGGTGTGTGCCGCTGTCCTGCCATCAGCCGCCCGGCCCCGCGGCAGGAGCAGCTGCTCGCTGCGGCCCCGGGCAGCTCCCGGCCGGGAAAGGAGGCGGCGAGCCGGCTGCTGAGCCCGGGCCGCGTTCCTGGCGTGCTCTGAGGGAAGCGGGCGGTGGGAGAAGCCACGGGGGCTGTGTGTGCGGTGACGGCATCCATCATCCCCGAGGGCAGCGGTGACAGCCGTGCTCCGGGGGCGATGCTGTTGGGGACACGGCGCAGGGACAGGGCCGCACAGCTCCTCCCGCCGCCGCTCTACATCCAGCCCTCGCAGGAGATTACGGCTTCAGTCTCTCAGACCGCACCGCTAAGCCGGGGCAATAATCTCCCGCACAGATGTGCGATGATGGGAGCAGAACCGTGCGAGCCGCCACCCGGCGGGGCGCGGGGCGGGCCGGAGCGGCGCTCCCGCAGGCCGGGCGCGGGTTTCCCCGCGGCGGGGCCGGGCCGGGCAGGGTCGCGGGGAGCGGGGCAGGGCCGGAGCGGGGCA